TCTCTGTCTTTCTGGTGAGCGCATGTGCCCTATAGCAAACCTTTCCGCAAAAAAAAAATAATTAAAAAAAAACTCTCTCTAAAAATAATAGGAGCCAGCATGTGGTGTGGTGGTTGGGGGCGCTTGACCCCCTACATGGTTGACCGTGGTTCAAGTCCCAAACCTGGTGGCTTGCGTTCTCACTTTTGCTCTCTCTCTCTCACTCTGTCCCTCTCTGGTCAAATTAAAATAAATAAACTAAAATAAATAGTTACATTATTTTCTGTTCTTAGCATTTTTAAAAATTTAATTTTATTTCTTCATTTATTTATTTAAGTATGACCGGGTCACACACACAGATAAAGTGAGAAAGCAAGCCGTCAGGTCCAGGACTTGAACCATGGTCAGCCATGTGGGAGTGTCCACTGCCTTAAGTACCACACCACTGCTGGTCCCAAATAAAATAATTATTTAAAATAATAATAAATTGAATTAAATAAATATTTTTAATGTGGTATATTTATATCATGGATGTTTCAGTCACAAAAAGGAATTTAAAAAGCCAGACACAGAAGACTCCTTAGGATGACCCATCCCCAAGAAATGTCCAGAATATGCAAATCAACAAAGACAAAAGTAGATGGTCACCAGGGGCTGGGGGTGGGGTGGGAAATAGGGAATAAAGGCCTAATAATTATGGGGTCTCTTCCTTTCTTTTAAGATTTTTACCTACCAGATATGATGCGTATGTGCATGCCCAAAATCCCGAGAAGAGAATGAAGGGATAGCAGTGTGGTCATTCCCTGAGTGAATGATTCCTTGCTTTCTGTCTCTGTCTCCAGTGAGTGCAGGCACCCTATAGTGAAAATCTCTCTTTAAAAAAAGAAAAGACTTTTGCCATAGAGTACGTGCATTTGCTGGAGAGGGAGATAGGGATGGAAATTGAGAAATCACGCCCCCCCCCAAGGGGGTAGTCATACACAATCCCTTCTCCTCCATTCTCCTTTTGTAATTTCGGGCATCCACGTACAGGTTCCCTGTGTGTTTTTCAGGCCACAGGGTCCAGGACTTCAACAGAGTCAACTATGTGGGATCCAGTGCCTTAACCATCATGCCATCTACCGGCCCTGGTGTTTCTTTTCTGAGTGACGCAAATATTCTTTTTTTTTTTGTAGAGATTTTCGCTGTAGGGCATGAGTGCTCGCCAGACAGAGACATAGAGACAGAAAGCAAGAAATCATCCCCCAGGGGGGATGGTCATGCCGCAATCCCCTCTCCTCCATTCTCCTCTCAGGATCTTGGGCACGCACGCACACACGCCCGGCGTGAGTTTTAAGCCACCGGGTCCGGGACGCGAACCGCCGTCAACTATGTGGGAGTCTAGCGACATAGCCATTACGCTAACTGCTGGTTCCCATGAGTGACGCAAATATTCTGTAATGAGACTGAAGTGATAGCTATAGAATTTTGTGAATTCTCAAGAGTGAAAAAATAGAATTAAAGGAACCAGCAGTCAGCGTAATGGCTATGTCGCTGAACTCCCATGAGGCTGACCGCAGTTTGAGTCCTGGACCTGGTGGCTTAAACTCACGCCGGCCCCTGTGCATGCGTGTTCAAGATCCTGAGAGGAGAATAGAGAAGGGACTGCGGCATGGCCATGCCCCCTGGGGGGGGGGTGATTTCTCGCTCTCTCTCTGTCTCTTTCTGGTGAGCTGAGCGCATGTGCCTTAAGAGCAAAAACATCTCCAAAAAAAAAAAGAAAAAAGAATTAAAGTATGTTTATTTTGATGCAGAAAAATTTTGAAATCTATGTAGTTTTTTCATAAGTTTTTTCCATAAACTTTTTGGACACCCTTCCAATACTAGAAACCATTGAATATGACCCCCCCCCCTTTTTTTGGGAGAGGTTTTCTCTATAGGGCGCGTTCGCTTGCCAAAGA